TCCAGACCCTGACGAGGGACGCGGGACGGCAGCATGAGCCTGGGATCACCCCTTCCTCCAGCCTCAAGAAGCACGGTGGCATAGACCCCCGCATCCACCCGGGATGGAGCAGTTTGTCCGGAAGCGTTTGACTTTCCTGACATCCTTCTGGAACAAGCTCCGTCCCCGCTCTGTGCCGGAGAGCTGCTCACTGGGGTATCTTGGTTCTGATTCCGTTTCGCTGCACTCGGAGCCGAACTCCATTTCCTTCATCCCCAAGTCCTCTCTCTTTATCGCTTTATACGCTTTCACAGCCCGGAGCGCGGAGGAACTGAGCGTAAGCGCAGGGGACAAACTGCGTGTCCTCAGAGAAGAAGGCGAGTATGTCTTAGCCCGCCGGCTGCTGGGGGAGCCAGCCATGGGCTACGTTCCTGCTGCATACGTGGCCAGCCTCAGCCAGGGCACCTCGACTCACCGGCCGTAAGTATCCCGTGCTCTGGACCCGTAGGGGGGATGGAGGCTGGCCCAGGTACCACGTCCCTGCCCAGGGAAAGGCAGTGCTCGCCCTCTGCGAAGGTGACCCCTGCATTTGCCATCAGCAGTGGTGGGAGATCTGCCCTTCCCTGGGCATCCCTGCCGTGAAGCTCCTGCAGCTCACAGCAGCAGGGTGGAGATATTCAGCACAGCGAGCAAGGGCTGGGGGATGCACCGAGGGGCAGAGATGCTGGTCCCCATTCCCGGGTGCATCACCCTCGCACAGAATGGGGTGGCTCCAGGCTGGGATGCTACGTGATGGTGTGCATGGGTGCAGCTACGGTGCCGAATAAACGGGCTCCTGCTTGCTCTGGCTCCTCTTCCTCTTGCCTCACATTAAAGGGGAAGCACTGGAGAGAGCGGGAACTGGGGAAGCTTGTACCTGAGCCCTGCCAGCTCCAAAGGGCCCAACAGCGTGGGGAGAAGCAGTTTGGGTTGGGACCTGCCGGGAAGCCCAGAGCTCTGTAGGGCCAAGCCATGGTGATGCTGCTGCTGTCTGGCTCCTGCTCATCTGGGGCCGGGGGCTCTGTCCCTGTCAGTGCCTCTCCCACCCGACATGGAGCTCGGGTTGATGTCTCAGCGCTCTCTCAGCTGGGGAAAGCCCGCCCAGGCTCATCGTTGTGTAAGGCAGCCTGGTCCCAACACGCCAGGCAAAGCGCCCCGAGACAACTGCTACTCCCTCTGTGCCAGGCCCTGAGTCACGCCGAGTGATGGGGAGCACACGGATGGGGTGGGTGTAATCACCCTGCAAACTCCCCCCGGGCCCTCACCCTGCGCTGTCTGGGAGCAGGGGGAAAAGAAAGGAGCCAGGGGAGCCTGGGAAGGGGCCCTGATGTGCAGGGGCAGTGACTGGAGCCAGCGGGATGGGAGAGACCCTCCCTCACTTGCCTCCCTGCATGCGCTTTGGAGAAAGGCAAATCCAGTCTGGTTTGCACTGTGCTGGGACCACACCGGCGAGGACCGCGGGGTCAGCTCGCTGCTTCAGTCCCATTGCACGAAACAGTTGGGCAAGCTGCAGCTGAGTGTGAGTGTGCACACATACGTGTGTGTGTGTGTGTGTGTGTGTGCCCAAGCCCCATCCCGAGGATGGAGGGGAGGGGGATGCTGCGCTGCAGGAGGGCAGTTGGCAGAAAACGTGCGCGGCTTTGCAGCCAGAGAGAGCCACGAGCCCCAAGCCGCAGGTCGGAGCTGGGTGGTAATTTGTTCACCTGCTGTAACCCCATCGTGTATAATTTCCTGCACGGCTTCTCGGAGACACTGGCAATCCCAGCTAATGATGAAACCTTCGGCTTCTCACGTCCTGGTTGTATTAGGGTGGATGAAGCAACTTCTTCCCCACGCTCCTGTGCATCCCGCTGAGTCGGTACCCAGCCAGTCAACCTGCCTTTTCTTGCTGGAGATTCGGTGACGAATCTCGGCATTGATCGGGCATACAAGAGGGGTTTGGCTGGGTCCTCCCTCCTGGCTTGGTGCTGCTGCCATCCCCAACCATCGCTTCCACGTCTGGAGCAGCAAAGGGCAATTCCCAGAGACGTTTTCATTGATGCGATTTGCTCATGGGCTCTGAGAGCTGGTTGCATCCGTGAGCTGCAGGTCAGATGCCAAGCGACCCTGTGCCTGTAGCTGCTCCTCTCGTGGCAGGACACAAGTGCAACCCCATCAGAGCATCTTCCCCGCAGCACCGGGTGGTTGGTGCTTTATTTACCGCAGGCTGTCAGCCCGGGTGCTGCACTGAGTCATGGGTGTAAACCTCCTCATTTTGGGATGGAGCTGAGACCTGGCCAGCTTGATACAGCAGTGATGAGACACTGCTGGAGGAAATGGCTTGCAGTCAGCAAACTGCAATAAAATATAAGTGCCTGCAAAACCAATCCGGTGAAGCAGCCCCGACGCAGGCTGGCAATGGTGGGTGTGTGAGCAGGCTCGGAGCCACGGGCTGGCCACCGTGCCGCTCGCCTGGCGGCTGCCAGGGGTGAGCAAATGATGGCGGGGGGACGACTGCTCCCCCTCCCTAGCTCAGAAGGTGCGGGAGCCCCTGGGCTGGATGCGGCCCCATCTGTGCAACATCCCCTTGCACCCCACTAACCCCTCTGCTCACCCCCCCAGCTGGTATTTCAGCAAGATCAGCCGAAGCGAAGCTGAGCAGCTCCTGCTCTCGCCTCCCAACCAGCACGGCTCCTTCCTCGTCCGGGACAGTGAGAGCAGCAAGGGCGAGTACTCTCTCTCGGGTAAGTTTGTGGCAATTATCCAGAGAAAATTAGCACAGGGAAAGGAACCAGGCTGTTCCTTAGGGGCAGCCCCTGGCTTGGTCAGCACGGGGTGAAAAACATGGAAATATGCTTAAAGTGCTTTACAGCATCTTGTTAAAAGTGAATTGACTGCTTTCTAAAAGCACGGGGAAAGCTAATAGATGCAGGTATGGATTGCTGAATTACTGTGGCAAAGGAAAGTACATTGCTCCCATCCGGGGGATGAAAGGTATAAACAATTCACAGCAGCTTAATGATGGTTTTGTGGCACCAACTCCCAGGATTTCATTTCAGCAGCTTTTGTCATCTGAGGGTTGTCTAAAAATACGCTGCCACTCCAGATTACCAGGGTCTGGGCTGCTCCCACCTACAGAAATCTGAATTCAGGGGGTTTCGGTTCGGGCAGCACCGTTATGATCTGGTCCGATCCATGTAAAAACAACACTGAGACATTCACGGCGAACCCCACATCATGCCCATCGCCCCACTGGGCTGTGGTGTGCCTGGGGGGGGTCCAGCCACCGCTGGGTCTGTCGACCTCGAGCAGCAATGAGCTCCGAGCAGTTCGTTTGCGAGAGGAATTATCCCCACTAATAAGGCATCACCTCTCCGGTCCAAATGACCCCACTTGCCCATGGCCAGGGGTCTTAGGAGCCAGGAGGTGGGAGCAAAGGAGGGTGATAGGGCGTGGGATGTAAGACCCCAGGGACAAGTTGGGTTGCTTTAGGTTCGCTTTAGGGTGAATTAATAGTTGGGGTGCCTGGAAAGGAGCGAGGGCGAGAGTCAGCAGGGAGGTGGGAAGGAGACTGCAATCGCACGAGCTGAGTTTTCTCCCACCTGGGTTTCTTTGCAGTGCGCAACCAGACGAAGGTCAGCCACTTCCGAATCTGCAAGAGCCCCGGGGGCAGCCTCTACATACAGAAGGGCCACCCCTTCCCCGACATGGAGGAGCTCCTCGCCTTCTACAGCGCGCACTGGAAGGTCATCCAGAGCCCCTTGCTGCAGCCCTGCAGCCCCGCGGTGCGTACGCCAACGGCACGGCTCGGCCAAGCTCCCAAAGATGGCCAGGATGGAAATAAGGAAAGAGAAATTAGGGGAAACTAGAAATAATTAGTCTATCCATTTCGGATTTGGGTATTATCCAACTAAATTTAAAATACACCGTTAGTATAGCTGCCAGCATCACCTTTTATCAGCCATGTTAAGACCAGGGTATGGCATTTGTGTGTATTTTTGGCCAAAATACACAGGCTTGTCTGAAATGTCTTCTCCATGTCAAAGACTGGAAACCACGTTGTTAAGAATTCCTTTGATACTGAATCTGGAAATACCTGCGCTTCCAATTTTTTTTCCTCGAGTATAATAAGGCCACATTGCTTTTATATAGTTTTTATGCCAATTAGTATGGCACTCTCATAAATCCAATTAGAGTATCAACCTCAAATTGCTGACTCATTTCCTGATTAGAATTCCATCCACTGATTATGACTTAGAAATAACAATTAAACATGTGAATAATCTGAGAGTGAAATTAAAAGGTGTAAGATAAAAGAAACGCTTAATGAGCTGAAGTCATTGCTTAATGAAGCTAAATCAGTCATAATATGCAATAATATTCATTTAATCATATTTATTTATTGGTGGAAATGGAGAAAAGCCACCTTTGAGGTCTGATGAGGAGCGAATTATGACTTGAATTCCTGATATTTCATGTAGTCTCCAAAAATCCGTCCCCGTGCATAGGCTGGTTCCCAGCAGAGGTAATGCAGGGGGTGCCCCACATGCTTTGTGCCCCCAATGAACATTCGGCAGAGGGAAGAGCAATGCACAGGCTGCAGCCCCAGTGCAATGCAGGTGATGGAGAACCAGGTCCTGCGGCCACCAGACCTTGGTGGGCACCAAGAGCTGGTGCAGGCTCCACCAGCAGGTCCTGCCCGGCCGGCTGGTCCAAGCGTGCAAGGTCCATTTTGCAGACCCCCCCCGAGAGGGACGGCTGGGAGCGCCCACGCTGGGAGTTCACCCTGCGGAGGAAGCTGGGTGAGGGCTACTTCGGAGAGGTGTGGGAAGGACTGTGGAGGAACACGGTGCCGGTGGCCATCAAGATCATAAAAGGTAGGTGGAGGAGCAGATGTTAACAGTGACCAACTGGGTCTCTTGTTCACCGCCACATTGTTCACCCCCTTTTGTTTCCTAGTCCTCTTGGTCACTGTGTCTGTCTTATCAAGCAAACTATGGTAGGACCTGGCAAGAAGCCACTGGACTATTTCTGTGGACCCACCTAAGGTTGGGCTGCACCTTTATAAGATAGCTCCATCCAGTGGGTTTGTGATCAGTCATGTCAAGTCAAATGGGTTTGTGATAAGTCACATCAAGTCAAGTCAAGTGGGTTTGTGATGAGTCAAGGCAAGGCAAGTCAAATGGGTTTGTGGCAAGTTAAGTCCTGATGGGACTATGAACCTGAAAATGGGATCCAAAGCCATGTGGAAAACATCTCTTGGGTGTTTGGTTCTGAGGCACAGGGTGTGCAGGCACAAACTTTGAGAGCAGGGGTGGACTTTGAGGAGGAAAAAAGTCCTCGTCCCAGCTGGAGGTGCTGAGCTCCCAAAGTCCTTGTGAGAAAGTAGCTCACAACGGCTGTATTGGCTTTCTCCCCCAGCCGACATGAAGGCAGAAGACTTCACCAAGGAGATTCAGAACCTGAAGCGCCTGAGGCATGAGAAGCTGATCCAGCTGCATGCCGTCTGCTCGCTGGATGAGCCTGTGTACATCATCACTGAGCTCATGCGGAAAGGCAACCTCCACAGCTACCTCAACAGTGAGTACCCACGCCAGCACCACAGGGAGCGGGTTCCTGGGGCCGTGCTGCTCTGAGGATGCTTTCTGTGCCCCAGAATGGCGCTGCGACCTCGAGCGGGGACCCTAAGTCAGCACAAGCCTGGTTTCAGTCCTGTTTAGATCAGTGGTAATGTAGAGCAATCCATGGGTGCTCAGTGGAGACGATCTGGGGTGAGCCCAAGACCCAAAGACACAGTCTGGCATGATCCTTTTTGGTGTCCGTGTGGGTTGGGTCCATATCAGTCCTTGAGAGCCCAAGTGTGTTGGTAGGGACCTTCATCCCTCCTTCTTCACCCACCCATGATCTGCCAACTCCCACCAGTGCACAGAAACCCCACTGCCCTGTTTGGGCAACTCTGCCTTCATTACGAACGAAATGGCCAAACCTTCCCCTGGGCCAGCAGCATGGTTTTGTTCATGTGCGGAGCTAGTAACAGACCATGGTCCACTAATCACTCGGCTGTCAGTTTATTTTCCTTGGCCTTTCTTTTCCTGACCCAGTAATCAGTCTTGAAGGGAAACAAGACAAACCGCTCCCACCAAGACCTGTTTTTCCACTGGGTACACCGCCGCCTCCTTCCCCACCCTGACCTCGTTTTAGGTTGGGGCTCCAGCAACATTTGGTGCCGAAGGAGATGGAGCTTGCAGGCACGACAGGTTGAGAGGCCTGGCTGGAGATTTGCATGGCAGAAGGTCACCTCTAGCTTTGAACAAGCCATGGACATCTGCATCCTCGTTGCAGGACACGGGGCCCTTCAGAGCTCACCCCATTCCTGAACTTCCCACATAGTACAACCAGGATGGTTAGGCAGGACCTCCAGTTCAAGGTTTTCACATTCCCCTGGTCCCACATCGCTGGCACAGTGTCTCCTTCCAAACCAGAACACCCAAAACAGATGTTGCTAGATTGCCCTCAACACTTGTATCGTCTGGATTAACAGGTCCTGAAGGGAAGTCCCTGGGCACCTCCCACCTGCTCAACATCGCCTGCCAAGTGGCAGATGGGATGAGGTACCTGGAGGAGAAGCACATTGTCCACCGGGATCTGGCAGCCAGAAACATCCTGGTGGGAGAGGAACTCACCTGCAAAATCGCCGATTTTGGACTTGCCCGGCTCCTCAAGGTCGGTCAGCAGGATGCTGTGGTCCTTCCCATCACCCCCGGCCACCAAGCTGCCCCATGCTGCAGCCGTTCCCCCGCTGTCCCCTTTCCCAGCCCACAGCCCCAGCAAAGCCCCAAAAGTAGCAGCTCTGTTCACCATACCACCCCTCATGACCCATCTCCCATTGCTTTTCAGGATGACATTTATTCCACCAGCAGCAGCACTAAAATCCCGGTGAAGTGGACAGCCCCGGAGGCAGCCAACTACCGCACCTACTCCCTCAAGTCCGATGTCTGGTCCTACGGGATTCTGCTCTATGAAGTCTTCACGTATGGACAGATCCCATATGAAGGTAGGGCTGCCAGCCCCCTCCGGTGCCGCTCTATCCATGGGCTGGGCAGCTTGCCCATGGTCCCCAAAAGCCAACACATCATGAATTGTTATATTGTCCCTTCCACAAGGGACGTGGAAGCAGCTCCTAGAGCAGGAGCAAGTTATTGTCCACTTTGGGGATTGCTTAGAGGGATTTTCAGTGCTTGCAGAGTGGGTGCAGGAGCTGACGGCAGGGAGGGGGTAATGGCTGGGTGATCTCCCCCAGCCTCTCCTCTACCCGCCCCC